TTAAGCCAAGTAAACAATGTGTTTTTGCTCGTAACAAGGCTAATAAAGTACTTGGGTTCATACAAAGGAGTGTTAGTTACAAGACTAGTGAGGTCATCCTAAAACTGTATCTTGCGCTTGTGAGACCACACCTGGATTACGCAGTTAAGTTCTGGTCACCGTATGACAGAATGGATATAGAATCCTTGGAAAGAATTCAGAGGAGAATGACAAGACTAATCCCGGGCATTAGGAACCTTGAGTATAGAGACAGGTTAAAGCATCTGAATTTACACTCCCCCGAGAGACGTAGAGCGTGAGGCGACCTGACAGAGATGTACAAATGGAAGTCAGGGCTAAACAAAGGACATTACAAAGGTACTCAAACTATCCAACCAGGAGCGAACTCGTAACAATGGTTTTAAATTTGACAAATTTAGATTTAGGTGCGAAATAGGTAAACACTGGTTTGGAAACAGAGTAGTGGATGAATGGAACAAGTTACCAAATATCATCATTAACTCGAATACGCTGGATAGCTTCAAACATAGGTTGGGTGGATATATGAGCAATAGGGGTTGGGTGTAAACGGGACTGCCCAGTATGGGTCAATAGGCCAGCTGCAGTTTCCTCCATTCTTATGTTATGTTCTTATGTTCTTAAAGCTTTTGTTAAACGACCCACCCATCCCATGTCTTTGTATGTAATAAGTCTTTTTTTTTTCTAATGTATATTTTCAGCCGACTTTTTCAATAAACTGTTAATTATTATTATTATTATTTATTATTATATCAACGGGACTCTAAAAAACTACAAGCAAATTAATATTTAGCCAGACTTGTGGAAACAGGCAAATGTAGTACCCATATTCAAAAAGAGAGACAGAGCCTCAGCATCAAATTACCGGCCGATCAGTTTGACATCAGTAGTGGGGAAATTTCTTGAATCAATTATAGCAGATAGTATCTGATCGCATTTAGAGAAAAGCAAATTAATCTACGACTCTCAACATGGGTTTACAAAGGGAAAACCTTGTCTAACAAATCTGCTGACGTTTATTAGGAAAGTCTTCGAGGTAGTAGATAATGACGAAAATTACTTTGTTATTTACTTAGACTTTAGCAAAGCATTTGACAGAGTACCGCATCAAAGGCTTCTGAGAAAAGTTAAGGCTCAGGGTATCGAGGGGAAGTTTTAAATTGGATAAAATCATGGCTCACCGATAGAACGCAGAGGGTCAGCGTAGATGGTGTTAAATCTGAGTGGGGCCGTGTAACCAGTGGGGTTCCCCAGGGGTCAGTACTAGGCCCACTTTTGTTCATAATCTATATAAACGATCTAGATACTGGGATCAGCAGTGACATAAGCAAGTTTGCGGATGACACCAAAATAGGGCGGCAGATTAATTCAGGGCAGGATGCAAATACATTACAGGAGGATCGAAATAAACTGCAGGGGTGGTCTGAAAAATGGCAAATGAAATTCAACACCAGCAAGTGCAGCGTACTTAATATCGGAAGAACAAATACTGTCAGTGTATACAGCCTTAACAACATCAACCTAGAGAAGTCGACTTGTGAAAGAGACCTTGGGGTACTTGTAAGCCCGGACCTACGGCCTAGAAAACAGTGCGTTAATGTTCGAAATAAGGCAAACAGAGTATTGGGTTTTATATCTAGAAGTGTAAGTATTAAGAGTGCAGAGGTCTTATTGCAACTATATCTTGCGCTAGTCAGGCCGCACCTCGATTATGTGGTTCAGTTCTGGTGCCCTTATTACAGAATGGATATCAATTCACTAGAGTCGGTGCAGCGAAGAATGACGAAAATGATTCCGGGACTTAGAAACCTTCCATATCAGGATAGGTCAAAGAAGCTAAACTTGCATTCCCTAAAAAGACGAAGAGTGCGGGGAGATATGATAAAAGTATTTAAGTGGGTGAAAGGAATAAATAATGGGAATATAGATAAAGTTCTTATAATATCCGAGCAGGATAGGACTCGGAGTAACGGATTTAAGTTGGATAAGCTTATGTTTAGGAGGGAGATAGGAAGGAACTGGTTCACTAATAGGGTGGTGGACAAGTGGAACAAGCTTAGCAACTTTGAAGTAAGTGCTGGAACGCTGGAAAGTTTCAAAAGGAGGCTGGATAGATTCATGGATGATAGAGAGTGGTAGTAACTCTCGACAGGAGCTGCCATTCACAGGCCATCCGGCCTATTGCAGACTCCTTATTTTCTTATGTTCTTATGTATACTGATAAGTCTTACTCCTCACAAGCCTACAAGCCACAGGCCTACAGTTGTCCCATAAATCACAAAACCATTATAACAAAGTTAATGGCGCCTGAAAATGTGGGTGGTTAGCCGAGTTTTTTCATTATTATTATGGTTTTACCCATCATTATGAAATTGTTCCATGCCAGTAAGAGCATTAAGGACCTATCCTGTCCCAAACTTACATTAATACCATCCAGGGACTATTCGCTTCAGTGAATAGCCTCTCTAAATGCTACTATAAGGTTAAGCTCCACCTACTATCAGATGGGTAGGTTGCAGGGTCACATTCAAGTATTCTCTGCCGGCTTAACTGACTCTCCAAAACAAAGGAACTCAACATCCTGGGGAACTGGGTAGAAAAGTGAGAGTAAGAGGAGGAAGTGAATGAGGAGGGAAAGTAAGGAGAACAGTGTATGTGGAGGATACACATTACGTGTGAGTGTGGTGGTGCAGTTGAAAATAAACATAAACAGTACATCTTCCTTGGTAGTGCTTCCTAAGGCGTCTGAGGCTTACACACAGCTCCCCAATTTGAGTCGCTTGTGGCATCCCACCGGTGTGAGTCAGCTGCAGAGAGTCACCTGTTACACCCCATCAGTGTGTCACTTATGGCACATACCAAATTTAAATAACATCCAACGAGTCTTACTTTGTAACGGCACGATTCGAGTGTTTATCTACATACACCGACTCACAGGTAACTGACGTAAAGAAAATCAACACTAATATAAAGAACGATGCAAGAAGTCTTTGAGTGTCGGCGGAATGATGAGAGAAAAACATCTGCCTTACGTTTCCATATCTAAGGCACAAAGACGGAACGATGTTGTGTTTAGAACCTGTGTGTTCTATGGGCCTGCAATCAGCGGCATGCCAACTCAGATCCCCTGAAGTTATGCGATTGTTCATTGCAATATGTATGTCATAAGTTCATGGATTCAACAGCAACTTGACAATGATTTCATATAAATGGACTTACTATAAACGCCTTCTTTACACACACACACATACTAATTAAATGGCTTTAATGTCCTAAATTTTAATAATCCTGGTGGAGGAGTCTAATGATGGTGTCACACATCTTCTTAAAACTAATCGAAATTTTGTTTTATATTCTTTTATTTTTATACATCTATCACATTATTGTATGAAGCTTGAGCGAAAAGTGATAACTACGATGTAAGGTCAATGGCCAGAGATATGTATAGTAGCATGACACTTTACTTTAATCAGATTTGCATTATGGTGTTTGTGTTTTGGTTGTCTATAAAGATGAGTAATGGTACTGTCGATGGTCACTCTAGCGACATAACATCTTTAAAAGGCGCTCCCAGCAATGAGGGAGAAGGGGTGGCATATTTTTTCTTTTACCTGAAGACTTCTAAAAACTTCCTTAATTATGGTGTGTGTGTGTGTGTGTGTGTGTGTGTCAAGAAAGTAGCTGTAAAACTGGGGGTGGGTCGGGAGGGGGACGTGCCCTATGATACAGCTAATTCTTGTACTGTATTTCACATTTTTTATTATTTTTACTTCACTATTATTATTATTATTATTATTATTATTATCATTATTATTATTATTATATTATAATTATTACGGAATTATCATCATCACACCTAATACCATTATCATGCATAGTATCATCGTATTATTAATATTGATATTTTAGTTGTTGCTCCTAAGGCGTGACAGCAAGTACCATACATCTTGGTTACATCTTGGATGATCAAAAAAGTTGTCGGAAATGAAAACTTTAAAAAATGCAATTATGGAGATGGTGTCAACTTTGTCATTAAAGGAAGAGGTGGTGGTCTAAGGCACTAAACTCATCAGAAGACAAGCGGCCATGGACGGGTCTAGGACAACTGGCCGCCGCCATCTGGCCGCAGCCCATGAAGTCCCTAACCTAACCTAACCTAACCTAACCTAACCTGCCTTGAGAGCGCAAAATTAGGCGTTTGCAGTTTACCCCCAGTCCGCGGCGGCCAGATGGCGGCGGCCAGTTGTCCCATTCCCGCCATGGACAACCTCACTAAACGATCTGTGACCACGACTTTAAATAATTCAAGCAAGATGACACAAAGGCACTATGTAAATCGAAACCCAGTCCCCAATTATGTAATTGTATATTTTCAGCCTTCTGGCTGCTATGCTCTTTCAATAAACCGTTAATCATTATTATCATTATTAAAGCAAACCTTACTGGCCTGATGTAGAGATCGTTATGATTTTCACTCAGGTTAGTCGGGTTCGTGTCATCAATCATTTGTAATTACATGTTGTAGTTTCAAAAAATTTTAATGTCAACAACGGTCAGACGCTGTAATTCTAGTGCATATTTAACGTGATTCTAAGTGAATTTAATGAGTTAAAATTCTTATTTCCGTTCCAGGAAATTATCTCTAGAATATAAAATTAATATTTTAGTAAGAGTTTGTTTGTTTATTGTATTAATAAGAAAAAATACTGTCACAAATCTCAGGAGCCACACAGATCTGTGACAGTATGGTACAGTATACAGTATTGTTGTGGCCTGGGGCCATAACCACGTAGTGAGAAAACCTGTTAGTCTTAAATCATATTTTATTTGTATTTTATCTTTGCCACTGCTCCTGTTCCACGCTCACATTCTTCTCAACTGTACAGTCTCATACAAGAGGATAAATTCACCATTAAATGATAGAGGAAAAGGTTTATGAAATATCTTGGTGTCGTGTTCCATATTTCATGAAAACGAAAATATATATCAATCTCTTTTATTAGATTTTTATAATATTAATAAATATAAATTTCTGGATTTTTTTTAAAGTCAATTTCATCCTCGTTACAAATAAATAATAAATTTTCTTGGCAATAAGTGGCAACAAAGCATCAACCATGGCATAGTCGAGTATATAGTTCCTTACACTGTTGTGCCTCTTTGAGGACAGATGGATGGGGAATGTTGGGGGGTAGGGCAGGTGGCTGCCTGGTGCTCTTCCTTTCAGGATGGAAGGAGTTATCAACATCATTAACATCATTCCACAGATTGAATGTGGCTGCCTAAGGAGTGCCGTATTGAGTGGACGGCGTTCCATGAACGCCTCCACTGCTAAAACCTGTGCCACCACCAAAGCCTGAACCTCCTCCAGAACTAAAGCCACTAGACAAGCTGGCACCGCCTCCGGAACTGCCTTTAATGTCAAAAGGGATGCTACCAGCAGAAGAGACTCCACCGCCGCCTCCAGAAAAGCCGACACCGCCGCCCCCAATAACTGCACCACTACCATGAGAAGCAGAGCTAAGAGCAGACTGGAGGTCCTCACCGCTGGGCAGAGTTGGGTTGTCCCCCTCGGCATAATTGACGAAGTACACCTGTGGAGTCTGTTGTTCTGGTGCTGGTACGTGGACAACTTGGTGATCTAGCTGAGTGCGCTTGTTGAGGACATACACGACGTTCTTCTGCTGTGGCGGCGGCACGACGACGGGTTCCTGGCCCAGTATTCCCTCTGGGGTGTGGATGAACAGTATATTATGTTCAACTCTTGGCGGAGGAACATTTGGTCGGGGACCCACAATAGGAGATACCGGAGGGGCGGTAAATACATACAGGTTGCGGGTGACCTGAGGGGTTACGCAGCTTCCGTCCACATGACGGACCTGTCCACCTCCACAGCTGGCCCCAGAGAAGCCTGAGCTCCCAGAGAAACCTGAGCTCCCAGAGAAGCCTGAGCTCCCAGAGAATCCTGAGCTCCCAGAGAAGCCTGAGCTCCCAGAGAAGCCTGAGCTCCCAGAGAATCCTGAGCTCCCAGAGAATCCTGAGCTCCCAGAGGAGTACGATGGACCAGAGGGGGAGGGCAGAGTGTAGCCTTGTGGGGCTGCGTTGGCAGCAGCCACCAGCACGGAAGCCAAGATCTGTAGACAATGTTAGCGGGTAATTAATATAGAATTTTGCAACAAACTTACCAGTCACCCATGTACATTTAAATGTACATTTTTTTTTAAGAACAGCAAAGTTCATAAAAAAAATCTATCTGCTGTATTTAACCTTTGATTTTTCTTATAAGTATGTAGGATGAAACCGTCGGATGATCACTGTGGGATGATAAATGATCCATCATGTACCCTAACTATATGAAGTCAGCTGTAATCAGTTTTATGAACTTAGCGTGGAAGGACTCGCATTTCCACATATGCATATGGCTTGAAACAGAGTACAATAATTCTGTTCATTTTCACCTATAAATTCATGCATATCAGTGACCACACCTCGTGGATTACCAAAACACAATAAATATTCTTGCCTAAAAGTGTGATGAAGTAGAAATATATTAATAATTCCATTTACTACCCTTTGGAGTTGCCAATAAATATCTGAATCAATTTAGATATACAGTCCCCTTCACTAGTGCGTTTACAGGGGCTCGTCAGGTTTTGTGCAGTGTGGAAGCCCTGTATTTGTTTTCATTCGACAGAAGGAACTAGCAATATTAAACCAAATATCTCAACGATAATGATTTGTGGAATGTTCATATGAAAAGCCCCTGTAAACGCACTAGTGAAGGGGACTGTACATATGGTGAGTGACAACCTCCTCTCTATGTCAGTCATTACCGACTCGCTGGACCAGTGTTTCCAGATGTCTTACTAGTATCACATTAGCAGGTACACACTAATGAAGGCGGTATAGGGTGATGGTTAACTAAAGATGCCTCCAATAAAAAGCTTCAACTACTTGGCAAAATTTGAAATACTCAAATATTTCATTCTATAAACCTTGTGTATATTGCGTCGTGTTTAACATAAAACGCAATAGCACTAAAATTATAGCATCCAACTATAATTTACCAAGACACTGTTATTAGCAGTACTGTATTACCATAACACCACAAATGTCATTATCAGCGTTACCATAACAGAACAACTTTCATCACCAGTGTTACCATAAAACCACAAGACTGACATTATCTGTTACCGCATCACTAACCTATTTGCCACTATAATGTTACCAAAACACCACAGACCTATGAGCAATCACCAGTGGCACCATAACACCACACACCTACCGGTCATCATTTACTTCACTACAGTCTTCCGAGTGATTACTACAAAGGTCAGGACATCCCACAAGCACCACTATATTGATCAATATATAAAACTCACTGACTTAAGAAAAGAAAATGAAACAATAAACTGACGCAGCAACAGTGTCACACTACGGGAACTCACATAAATATTATCAGTCGCTCAGCTGAAGCAATTCACTACTGAGGAAGAGGGTAGGGATCTTAAACCTGGTGCTTTTCATTCTATCGAAGCTCTTTGTTGACTTCTGTGGCTACTGAGCATAACACTATGATGACTTCGGGTTGGGTAGTCAAACTGAACCTAAGAGATATTATCAGTGTGCACTACCACCTCGCCAGAACACAAGGGAACACGATGTCACAAGAAAAAAAAGGAGACAAGAGGAGGTAGGACTCACCAGGAGCTTCATGGTGGAGAATGTTGACGTGCTACGTCTTCCCTACCTTATATACAGCCATTCACTGCCTGGATTTAGTCAGAGTCACTTTCGTTACATCCTTAACCACCCTCAAAGCCCTCTCTCTCCTCGTGTGACCTTGCCTGCGCGCGCAGGTTCAAGAGGCATTAGCCTCTACTTTTAGCAACGTTTTTGCTTGCGCCATGCAACTAGAGGCAGCAGAAGTGGGGTTGCATTTTCTGAGCAATTATATATTTTTGCTTTTAATATTACTTTTTGCAGATTTTTGTATAAAGTAATCTTCGATGTTTATATCACCACAACACACTATATTGCTTTGAACTAAAATATGAGTGATCTTAACCTCAGTGACGTGAAACCTGACTGTCGTGGAACATTATAAATTAACAACACATATAGAGGCCACGCTCCACACGCACGCCACCCAAAAGTGATAACTAGCTACAGAAGTATTCATTAAGAGTTACCTCGTTATTTTCAAAATCTTCGCCACACACAACTGTACCAACACGTCAGTCGTAGAGATAAGTGAGAGAGTACTGAAGGACATTAACTGCTTGACCTTATAAACTGAGGTTAAGATATCACTGTCAGTCAAGGCTATGGTCACACGTACCAGGTAAGGCCTGGAGTCACAACACAGAATATGTAAGGCCTGGGGTCACAAACAGTATTATGTAAGGCCTGGGGTCACAACACAGAATATGTAAGGCCTGGGGTCACAACACAGAATATGTAAGGCCTGGGGTCACAAAAAGTATTATGTAAGGCCTGGGGTCACAACAGTGTTATGTAAGGCCTGGGGTCACAACACAGAATATGTAAGGCCTGGGGTCACAAGTGATATGTAAGGTCTGGGGTCACAAACAGCATCATGTAAGGCCTGGGGTCACAAACAGTATTATGCAAGGCCTGGGGTCACAACAGTGTTACGTAAGGCCTGGGGTCACAAGTGCTATGTAAGGTCTGGGGTCACAGGTGCTATGTAAGGCCTGGGGTCACAATACAGTGCTATGCAAGGCCAGCAGTCACAACAGTGTTACGTAAGGCCTGGGGTCAAAATACAGTATTATGTAGGGTCTGGGGTCACAACACAGTATACAGGTATATAAGGCCTGGGGTCACAACAGTGTTATGTAAGGTCTGGGGTCACAATACAGTGTTATGTAGGGCCTGGGGTCACAACACAGTATTACGTAAGGCCTGGGGTCACACAGGTGCATGACGGCAACAATTTGAAACTCGTCTCCTTCACCCCTTGACATTGCGTCTTTCACACACACACACACACACACACGGTACACCTATTATTTCTTCAACTACTGTAGCTGGTATCTGGTATTTGTGCTAAAATTTCGAGACATAAGTACTATTGTAAGATCTACACCATCACAAAATACTCAAGCGCCTCTACTACAACTTCTAACAGTAGTAATGTTGAGACTTTTCCGCCAGCAAGATCAATGTAAGTACAAGGTTGACAACAGCTGGTCCAGACCTCACAGCAGCGTTTGCCCTTTTAAAAGCGCCAAATGGTATTTCAATGGCAACAGAAAATCAAACGTAAATTTCCCTGTTCTCACTAAGTTGTGACCACAGTATTTATGAACAAACACAGCGAAGGCCATGCACTGTACACTCCCTCTAACAACAAGCTTTCTCTTACGGTAGTCACAACTCACATACAAATTATATTTGCTTAAAAAAAAAATTTCCTTGGTATTGGATATTTTTTTCTATAGCTGATACATTCATTTTTATAGGAACAAAAGAATAAGAATGAAGCAAATGGCAGTATTGGCCCATGCTATAGGAAGCCCTGTTTTATCCTCCCACAAGTGTTGCCAAGCGGCTGATAAGTAAAAAATACATTAAGCCTTACACGCGATGACGCCACATTATTCAGTAAAACTATTCATATATAGTCAGTAGGTTATTGATATCAAACTTTTGATTTCTATGGATATCCAGTCGGATTTTGTATCATTATTGCTGCCTCCACTTCATGCATTAGTCTTTCGTGAGTGACTCTATCAAAGGCTTTGCTAAAGTCGAGGAATATCTTATTATACTTGTGTCCATCGTCTGCAGAATCGAAAAAGCTTTGAAAAGAATGATGATAAATTTACCAGACACGAACGACCCTCTAGTAACGTCATTCTGAATTATTGATCAACTCGTATTTACGAGGTGATTTCAAATTGAATTTGTTACTGTTGTTGCCAATAAATTACTCATTTAAAATTAAATTGACAGGGCTGTCTTCCACTTTTTACTTGTCGGTCTTTCCACTTCCCAAAAATACGAGTTTACTTATAATGAGATAACATAAGGAAAGTGGCGTCTTCCATAAGTTACCAAATTGAATTTGTTACTGTTGTTGCCAATAAATTACTCATTTAAAATTAAGTTGACAGGGCTGTCTTCCACTTTTTACTTGTCGGTCTTTCCACTTCCCAAAAATACGAGTTTACTTATAATAAGATAACATAAGGAAAGTGGCGTCTTCCATAAGTTACCAATACGAGGTATTGCTGAGCACAGATCCGAGGATAACTCTGATTGTCTCGCCTCTCGCTGCCTTGCCTCATCAGGTGAGTGAAGGACGACCTTACTGCACACTGTTGCAGCACCTGGGACCACCACACAACCCACTCAACTGAAACAATGTTTACTTGGTGTGTTGGCAGATACATGACACCTGGTCAAGACCGAAACAAGAGAAGGGAGTTCTTTAGTAACAACTGTCGTAGGCCAAATGAAAATCACTTTCAAATTTTCTGGTAAAATTTAACTGACGTTGGTTATTTGTGTCAGCGGGTTATCAAACACGAAGAAAAAGTTGGAAATGATCAAGGTAAGGTTTGACGAGGAAAGGCGCACTTGTGTGCCAATTTAATATTGTTATACGGTTCTCAGGAATAAATATCCAACTCACGATCATATTCAATTAATAGTTTCACTACTGATGTTGACTTATACATTAAATACAACATGATGCTGATTCAAGGTGTCAGTAATAACATCAACATCGCAGCACAAGACCACCTTGACCTCCATCAGTGTCCCGGGTGGGGCTGGCAGGTAAGGAGCCCACCCACTACTGCACTGTAATATTGTCCACAATTTTTTCCTCCACCTGTGATTTATCCCGTCTTCTCAGTAATATCCGCCTGGCCCTGTCTCCATTAATCCTTCCTCTCTTAATTTATATAAACTTCTTTGATCGATCTATGAATGTAAAAATCGTCAAAGTCTAATATCATAATTTTACTCGTATAAATAAAAAATGACGCAGAGCATTTAGATCAAAACTACCATAAACAACTTGGTAATCAATACTGTACACTAGATAATCAAGCCAAAATACAAACAAAACCAATACATACGAAATTCCATGCCTTTAACAACTCGCATTACCCAAGAACTACAAATTCACTCTGGCAGGATGATGTATCTAGTCTTCCTACGATTTAATAAGTGTTGGTTGTTCCTGATAAAGAGGCAGTACGTCAAATTCACCTATTTGTTAATTAAGGATATCACCAGACCACAGCTCACATGTGTCTACGTCTTAACTAAATTATCAATTCACTTATACAAGAAACAAAAACACAACAAGAAAACTCCATACTGGTATATCCGTTCCTTAGGTTAATAATGGGGGGGTTAGGAGGTGGAAGGGGGGTTGGGAGGGGGAAGGGGGGGTAGCTGGGGCAGGGGATGAGGAGGGGAGATGCGCCCACTTTCTATATTTCTAAGCACATTTCATTCCGTTAGATGAGTCAACACAGGCACATGCGTTGAGATATACTCGGCCTCTGTGTGTGTGTGTGGTGAGAACCCATAGAGGCGTAGACAATGGAGACCCTACACCCAGGAGCTTCACACTGCAGGGAGAGGGAAGGAGGGAGGGAGATGGTATACCTGTTCCTCGTGCCAGCTTGCAGTTCAGTTTATCTCCTGACTTCCTTGAACGTCTCTGCCCTCCCGCCCACCCTCCTCCCCCCATATCCCGACACATAAACACACCTGGGCAATCATTTTATTAGAGGTCATGTGTGTACAGGTAAAGGGAGGGACATTAGCTCACACCTTCACCAACACACCACCACCACCAGCACCACCACCAGCACCGTCGTCTCACAAATAATGTAATCCTGACAACGGGGGTTAATTATTATGTCCCGTTGTAAAATCTACTCTGTAATCCTTTTGCGCTACCGCTCACAGGATGAGTGTGGGGTGCACAATAAAGTAGCCGCTGGAAGCGGCAAAATAAAAAAATCAAATCTCCCTGCCGCTTAGTCAACAAATATGCACCTTTTGTGTACGTCTCCGTTTGACACACACACACACACACACACACAGACACACACACACACACACACACATAGCTCTTGGTGTTTCCTTTATTTAGATATTTGTTTATTCAGTAAAATCTTTTATAACCTCACACTACTTCACCACGTACCGCACAGTACATGAAAAATGCAGACATACCAGCAAGGGTAAACAGTGAAGTCGAGTCAGCCAAGTACAGTACAATGATAGTCGGCAGGACACTGTCTGAATCCCATACACAGAGACATGACACGAGAGCTGATGAAAACCCCCATCCCCCAGCTTATTTCACCTGACGATTTCACACCCTAACACTATCTGGGAAAGTAAATTTAGGCTAGGTTAGGTTCAGTTAGGATTGGGGTGGTTAATCACAGTCATAATACGCAGGTGAGAAATACTCTTCACGTGATCCTTGTGTTTTTCTGCCCTGATCATGGCGCGTGAGGTTTCTTAACAAAGAGTGGGATAAAGCATCAAGCAACAGAATCCCACACCGGAACACGAAGACGTGGGTTGACGGCTCTGTTTCTCTTTCATAGGTCAAAGAGCAAAGGGAAGGTGGGTGGAGAGAGTCTGCATCAGCTAGTAACTGTTGTGTTCTTTTGTTTTGTTTAAAATTAAACACACACATAAACACACACGCACGCACACACAAACACACACGCACAGACAGAAACACACACGTACACGTACGTATGCGCGAACACACAAAGACA